AAAGCAAAATAGAAAGCCAGAGCAGAAAACATAAAACATGATGTCAGAAATAACACCTAACACAGTAGCTGTAAAATTCAATCTGACGCTATCCCTTCACCTTGGCCTCTGATCTAATGGCGGTAAAGCCTGCCCAGTGTTGCTAACCTGCGGGGCCCTCACAAGGCCTGCTGTCCCTTTTGCCCTAACTGTACTTCCAGAACCAGTTTTTTCATTTTCTACTTAATTTAGCTGAAATCGACAGAACTGTTTTCTGCCAAAACTGCTTTTAATAATACATGATAATCTTAATATCAAATTAGAATCCAAAGGTCAAGGGCAGCAATTGAGATTTTAAAAAGTGTGATCAGTAACAGATATAAAACAATATGAAATAAAGCAAAATTATAAAAGGAAATTCACAGAAATAATATATCAGGAACCTTCAAATACATTATTATGTATTTTGTAGATAAAACAATAAACAAGGACAAAAAACATACAACATAATTTATAAAAGTGAACTAAAAGCTAAACTTCAAAGTCTATATTCTACAGGAAATTTATTTGTCTTTTCAACAACCACTTATTCATTCATAACTTTCATTGGCTTTAGCTTGTGGAACAGTGCCTTGCACACAGCACACATATAAAACGCATTTTTAAAGTAACAAGCTAGTATACCTTTACAAGGTTTAATAGATCACTTGTGCCTATTGATCATTTTTCAGGCCTCAAAGAAAATGAAACACTACTCTCAAAGGAAAAATTGCATTTTCAAAACCACAAAGATAAAGTATTAGAACTTAAAATGAAAGACTGAGATTTGCAGGTCTTGACTAGAAAAAGGGTCTCACTTCTCATGTTAGGTCTTTTCCTCAAAGGGTCGGTCCAATATATGCAGCGATCGATTAAAATATTTGCTTCACAAGACTGAAATGGAAAACAATCATAAAATAACCCCTTTTTGTAATATATAAAATGATGCCTATTTTAAAAATACTATTCATAAAAATAAGAGGGAGCCTGGAAGAGATAAGAGTGATCACAGAATAGCCTGAGGACATGCCGTACTGGGGCAAACTAAATAAGAAAAGGATCCTGGTTTAGAAAAGTCGTGGTTGAGGGCACATGATACCATCACAAATGCCATAAATGAAAGGAATACATATTTAGTCTCTAGGTTCTAAAATAAAGACTGAGACATGATTCAAAGCTGAAATACAGTTATTTTAGAATGTAAAGAAGCAGCATCAGAAAACATTAAGTGCCAGGAAGAAGTTAGAGAATATTTCCTTGAATTACTGGGTGTTACAGATAAAAAAAAAATAGATTTTGACAAATGATGCTAGAAAATTTGATACCTACGTGCAAGAGAATAAAGTTGGATACTTTCCTGCTGCCATATAAAAAAAATTAACTCAAAAAAGATCACAGACCTAAATGTAAGAACTAAAATTGTAAAATTCTTGGAACAAGGGAGGAGCTTTATAACACTAAATTTGATGATATATAGCAAAAACAACAAAAAATATATAAATTAAACTACAAAAAACCCAAAAACCTCATGTGCACCAAAGGGCACAGTCAGCAGAATGAAAATGCAACCCACAGAATGGGAGAAAATATTTGCCAATAATATATTTTATAAAGAATTAATATCCAGACTATAAAAGAACTCCTGCAAGTCAATACCAGAAAAAACAAGTAAAACGATTAAAATGGTCAAAGAATTTGAGGAGAAATTTCTTCAAAAAAAAACACATACAAGTAGCTAATAAGCAAATCAATAGATCTCAACATAACTAATCACTGGGAAAATGCAAATCAAAACCACACGAGATAGCACCTCACACTAAACACAGTAAATAAGTGTGGGCGAGGATATGGAGCAATTGTGCACTGCCTGCTGGTGGGAGCAAAAACTAGTGGAACTGCTATGGGAAACAATATGTCACCTTCTCAGAAACTTAAAAACAGAATTATACTTCCCAGCAATTCTGCTTCCAGATACATACACACAGTGAACTGAAAGCCAGACTCAAGGAAATATTATTTCACCCATGTTCATGGTAGCATTATTCACAGTACCCAAAAGGCAAAAGAAATCCAATTAACTATCAATGGTTGAGTAGTTAAAAACAATATGTACATATTATAATTATAATATCTATTATAAATATTTATAATAGAATATTATACAGTATTAAAAAGCAAAAAAAGAAATCCTGAAATATGCTATAACATTTAGGACCCCTTGCTAAATGCTACTAGTCCTAAAAGGACAAATACTGTATGATTCCAGGTACATACAGTACCTAATCCAATTCAGGACAGGAAGTATAAAAGTGGTTGCCAAGAACTGTTGGGAGGTGCAAGTGGGGAGTTACTGTTTAATTAGTATCAAATTTTAGTTTTACCAGATGAAGAGTTCTGTGAACCAATGATAGCAAAACAGTAGGAATGTATTTAATGCCACTGTCTGTGTACTTAAGATGGTTACAGTGGTCAATTTCACAGTACAAATATTCTATCACAATGTTTAAAAAGGAAGAATAAAACTCATTCCTTTTCCTTTGATTGAATCCCACACCTTCTTTTGACTTACTCATTTCTGTGTGTTGTAGCTGTGCAAGTCAGACACTTGGGATCGCCTCTCCTTGTGCTTAACCTGTCACCCTACAGCCCACTCCAGCCATCACATTTCTGTGTCAGAGCACCTTTTTCATGTCTCTCTGTCTCTCTCTGTCTCTGTCTCTCTGTCTCTCTCTCTCTCTATTTTACCAGCTCCCAATCATGTAAAACAGTATGCATGGCTTTTGACTCTTTTGCTATGCATATAAATATTTGTCAAACCAGGAGGATGGAATATATTTTTAGAAATAATTTCTGACTGACATACACAAACTTACACATTTACAGTTTCCATGTGATGCTTTGACACATGTGTATAATGTGTAATGATTGTGTCAGGGTATTTAGCATATCTACCACCTCACACACTACGTTGAGAACATTCAAATCCTCTCTATAAGCTCTTTTGAAATATCCAGTTTTTGTTAACCACAGTTATCCTGCCGTGCCATACAGAACTGTAGAAGTTACAATTATATTTATGTACCCCTAACTGGCCTCTCTCTGTCAGCCTCCACCTCCATTCCCTCCCAGGCTCTGGCAACCACTATTCTATTCTCTACTCTATGAGATCAACGTTTAGCTTTAGTGTATACGCGAGGATGTGTGGTGTTTGTCTTTCTGTCCGAGCAGCTTCATTTCTCACTGAGCTTAACTGACTCTTTGTCTTTTGCATCTGGTCCTTCCGATCTCTTCTCCACTTTGCAGCAAAAATGTTCTTTCTTTAAAAAGTGAAAAGCTATAATGTCCTTCCCCTAAATCTCTTCAATGACTCTTCCTTGCCATTAGTTAACTTGGCTTATGATACCCATCACCATTTAGCTCTTCACTATTTATACAGCCTTAATTCTGTTTTCTGCTGCATGCTGTGCTCTTTAGCCATTCTCAACATCTTCAGTTCTGGAACATTCGACATTCTGGCCCCTTAAAAACTTCCTTCTATACAACTGTTCCTTCTTAGAGGACTATGGATTCTCTTCCATCTCTCCCAGACTTTCTTCATCCCATCAACTTTTATGATTCCCATAGGCCCTAGGTGGTAAATTCAATCCCAAGAGACTTTTCTGACCCATCTATATATTGAGTGCTCTTCTTTGGTGACCCTGTGTTTCTGTCATCAAACACTCTTCATGCATTGGGCTTCCCTGTTTGCTTGTGTGTTCTAGGTTTATCATCGGAAATTGAGAGCTCATAGATCATTAATAAAAGGACTAATAAACATGTCTGGAGAGTCTGAATTCCATGCATTAACCACATGACTGGTTCATTGCATTGCCAATAGGAGAACTAGGATTAGAACAAAAACACCAAAAATAATTTGTTCTGTGCTTTCTCATTTGTGTCACATATAGGTAAACATAAAACTCACCACCCCTAGAAGGACTGGGACAGACAGAGAATGATCACAGAGAAGCCAAGATATGCAAAAAATTTAAGCTTGATATTGTCCGTGTTTTGCATTAGATCTCTTTGGATCTCAATTAACTAAGAATCTTGGAATAAAAGGAAAAAAGAACTGACCAGCTATAATAATGTCCAGGTTCAATTTGACAGAATACTAAATAAAACAACTTTTTCCAATAACCTTAATTCAAAGCCTGTCTTTAGATTTGGCATTAATAATGTAAAGTCAAGTCATAAGGCCCCTCTATGTTGACTATGCAGCAGACAGTTGAAATCCTGCTGCCTACATTAAGCCTGGCCTTGAAGAAATCCAGTATGGGCTAAAACAAATGTTTTCTACAATATACACATAGACATATATACGATGTGAATATACACATTTAGGATATAAGTCACTTAAAGTAGCCAAAGCTGTCATCATTTATAAGAGTAGTGATACAGAAGGGAAAGAATAAAATCACATCTTTTGTTAAACAAAATACTACAAATATACATAAATTAAAACTGTAATTTCACCTCCAGTGCATGAGATGTACTTAGTCTCTCGTATCTTACAGATTTATGTCAACATAGCTTGTCACTGAAATGAAAATCATATTATGTATATGTATGAGCATCGTATTTTTCATGGTTGCATCACATAGCACTACTAGGGTTTTGGTGAAACTAGAAATTATCTTGTTGACCTCATTCTGAATGTGGGTTTCTTGAAACAACACAAACAATGTGCATTTTCTATATTGTTCCAAATATAAGAGAAGTAAAAGCTTAGAACTTAATATAAACATAGGATTCTAATTAAATCACATTGAGTTTATTACATTACTAAGAAATCTTTAGCTCATTGACAGCCTTAAGTAGTAAATATTTTGTTGTTCTCCAAAAGTTAATAGCAAACTAATACTCTACTGTTTGCTAGTAGCAATCAAAATTAGGACTATCAGAGGAAAATGTATGGTTAAATTGTATAAAATGAGACATACGGTCATACGCTGCTTTAGCAATTGCTTTGGCTGCATTCTTCTGAATATCAGGAACTGTAGAGCTTTCCACAAATGTTAGGAGCTTTCTAAGCCCCCCTGTCTGCTGAATCAGTGCCATACTGTCCATATCTTCAAGGCAATTAGCCATCACAGAAAGTGCTTCTACATGAAGGTCATTCAATTCCTAGTAGTAAGAACAGACAACTTTAGGAAGTTGTAGTAAAAGAAATTTTCTCTTTGAAAATTTTAGTTTGAGAGGAACTGCAATCGGTGAGAATATAATGTAATTAATTGTATTGTGAGTGGGGCTCTTGGAAGCCAGAGGTCTGTTTATCAGTGCAACATCGCTCTACCTTACCATTTACCCCATTTTTGCTCATTTATCTTACTTCAAAATATTTTATGGACAAAAATAATGCTATTGAGGAAATTTCCACTAACGGTAGCCATGGGGCATTGGTCATATATCCTTCTACCAAAAACAGGTCTAAAATCTGGTGAGAATGTTTTTGAAAGAGCAGAGAAATGCCTGCCTTAAAATCTGCAGCTGGTAGAAGAAAGTTGGTAGACTTTGTGGGTTTGTGGATGGAAGAATCCCCCAAATGCTCACAGCAGTGGAAAAATGCAGCTCAGCCTAAACTGTTAGAGATTTCAGAGAGAAGTCTTGAAAGTGGGAGGAGCACAAAAAGGAAGATCCACTGCCATGACATTCCACTCAGTACTGCGCCTGCCCAAGAAACTAACTTTACCGCAACAGTGCAACAAAGGGCCACACTCATTGGAATTCATGGAACCTCCTCATTCCCCATCACCCCAAAACAGGTGGCTTGGTGAAGTCTTGTAATGGTCTTTTGAAGACTCAGTGACAGCACTAATCTGCTGGCAACACCTTTCAGGACTGACTGGTTCTCCACAAAGCTGTATATGCATCAAAACACTGTGTGACATATGGTGCTGTTTTTCTCACAGCTAGCATTCAGGAGTCTAAGAAGCAAGGAGTGTTGGGCCAAGGATTTATCTCAGCAGCATAAGCGCCTGCCTTGCAAGCATGAGGTCGTCAGTTTGATCCCGGGTACAAAAAAAAAAAAAAAAAGCAGCAAGGAGTGGAAACGGAAGTAACCCCACTCATTTTGCCCCTATGACTCACTAGCAAAATCTTGGCTTCATGTGCTTGCAGTCTTATGATCTGATGATCTAGAGTTCTTAGTTCTAAAGGGAAGAATACATCCACCGAGAAACACAATTATGCCATCAGGGCTTCCCATGCAAGGAGATGTCAGACTGCCTGTCACTCCATAATGGAAATGAGGAAGAAAGTGGAAGAAAGTTGGAAAACAAGAGATCTCTTACAGGGACTCTGAGTATATCCCTTCATGCTCTGTGATTACAATTAATTAAAGTCCACAATGACCGAGGCCATGCAGGACCTCTAATGACTCTGCTCCTTCAGGAGTGAAGGTTTGGGCCATCCCACAATTAAAGACCTATGACCAGTGGAGATGCTTGCTGAGACCAAAGGGAATGTGGAATTGGTATTGAAAGAAAGTAGTTGTGACTATCAACTATAGCCATGTGACCAGTTATAGAAATTAAGACTGTAAATATTATATTTCTCCCTTATTTTGTTATATGTTTGTATGTGTATTTATATATAAATTATATACATATATATATATTATATGAACCCACTTATAGCATATGAACTGTACTAACTTTATACCACAATAATTCATTTTGATGAATTTACATCACAGTATTTAAGTTTCTGAACATCAGTGACAAGAGTAAACATCACCCAAAGACTGCATCCTCTTCTAGGGAAAGAGTTAATATATTTTTTTGTAAGATGTACGACAGTTGGGTCATGCTAGGTATATGTATTATTTTGCCTTTACCTTTCCTTGGAGATTAAATGATTTAAGAGGATGCATATGCACTAAATTTATAAGAAATAACCTTACAATGGTTGATTTTTGTCAACTTGACTAGGCTTAGTCAAACACTATTTAGATATTTCTATAAAGATAAATTTTAGATGGGATTGATATTTAAATTAATAGACTTTGAATAAAACAAGTTACTCATAATGTAAGTGGCTCTCATCCAATCAGTTGATGGCCATAATAGGAAAAAAAAAAAAAAAATGACTTCCCGGAAATAGGGGAATCTCTGCCAGTAAATGGGCTTTTTAATTTGCTAACTTTCCAAAACTAATTGAGCCAGCTCCCTAATTATTCATTCTATTTCTCTGAAGAACTCTTATCAATACAGAATATGATCAAAAAAGTGAGCATAAATTATTCCCAGACCCCTGACTGACCATTAAACCATGTGTGCATGGAGGATATACCAGAGCCCTTCTAAGATCCTTGAAGTGGGAGAGGCACTGGTGATAGCTATTACTTGGCTGCTTTTCAAATGCGGTTCCTTTCACAAACCTGTGCATTCTCAGAGAGAATGAAACTTTACTGGCTTAAACTGTCAGAGATGAAAGCCTGAAGCTAAAGGATCAGCCACAAATTTAATGCCCAGAAGAAGCGAACCAAAAATGTGAGCCCCCAAATCTTAAGCTAAAACTCCTTCCAGATACATTGACCTCAGAGACACTAGGGAGACCCCTAGAATCCAGCTAAGTAAAAACAACAGTAAAAAGAAACCCTCAGAATAGAGCAGTGATACCAGCTGTTGCACCCCACAAGACAGAGTTTTCGTTTAAGGACCTATTTGACAAAATGTTAACCATCTTCAGAATACAAAAGAATCTGAAAACATTTTTTAGCAAGTTGAAAACTAAGATAATTTATGCCTGAATATCTGCACTGTAAATGGAGTTCTTCAGACTGAAGGAAAGTGGTCTAGATGGCAACCTGGATGCACAAGAAGTAATGAGCAACACCAGAAATACTGAATATACGGATAGATAAAAGAACCCTGAAATACAAGAAGTTGATAGACACTATGCACACATACAGAGATGTAATTTTCCTTTCTTAATTCCCTTAACACACATACTGTAGAAGACTGGTCAAGACAAAAACTTACTATGTTGCTTTGTTAAGTTTGTAATGTATATATATATATATATATATATATATATATATATATGTAATGTACAGATATATATATAAAACAAAAGTTGCATTCAGAATAGGAAAAGTAAGTAGAAATACAATGTTACAAAGTTTCAATATTTTAGTTGGATTAGTCAATATGAACTCTATGTAGATTAAGATATGTTTAAATTCTATATTGTATTCACTAGACCAATTGTTAAGCACAAACATAACAAGAAAGTCAGCAAAGAAGTTAAAACATAATATTAAAAATTACATTAACATGGTAAATGACAGGAAGAAAGGAAAGGAAGAAAGAAGGAAGGAAAAGTAGAATAAAACAGCAGATCATACAAATTAAAAATAAGTGATAAACAGCATCCCTAAATATAACCAAATCAATAAATTATTATATAAAAATCAACTGAAAATTCAAACTCAAAACTCAAAAGTTTGGTGAAAAATGTTACATTAATATTATGTGTTGCAATTCCCAAGCATGTGATACCTCTAAGCCTTCTTCAAAAATTGTTTTGTAGTTTTGTTTGGTATATACAGTTTTGGCATAAATTTTATTAAATTAAACTCCTTTTAGGTCGTGCATCAGGAAGGCATTGAAAATCACATTGCATTTCTTTTGCTTTTCAGCTGTTCATTGCTAGTGTTCAGAAATACAGTCAATTTTTACGTACTGACCATTTGGCCTGTGACCCTTAATATATCTACTTATTAGGCATTATACATATACACACACACATAATATAGTGTAGAACTTCTTAGTATGTATCCATTAGTTCTATTAGACTTTTACAGTCTCTGTATGCACAGATTACATGACTGTATGTACAGAAAATCAGTTTTCTTCTTGTTAGTCTGTATTTTGTGTTCCTCTTTTTTTCTTGGATTGTCACCCTGGCAAGGACCTCTAGGACAATGGTGATGTGACATGAACAAACACTTGTATCTTTTACACCCCTAAACATGAAGAAAGGCACTTCTACTTTTTATTCTGTGACTGTTTCAATTTTTCTAACTAAAATACAGGAATTAATTCTGAAAAAATACTCTTCTTCTGTATTTATGTATAGAGTCCCTAGCTCTGTGACTGTAGGTAAGTTATGCAACTTGTCAGTCCCACTTTTCTAACCTGTAAAACAGGACTAATGATGTACTAATTATGTGATAAGCACAAGGATACAAGTATTATTTCTGTTTTATAAAAAATGTGTTCTTGAATTAGGAAGTAAACAAAAATATATAAAATATCCTCATAGTGCCTACCATGTACTAGATATTTGTATCCCTTCCATTTTTGATGAAAATAAGAAAGGTAAAATATCAGGTGAAAATTCCATGACATATCACACAAATCTAAATCACCTAAAATGATTTACGTATAGTTAATCACTTTCTAGCTATGTCACACTGGGAAAATTAAGTAACTTATTTGACTTTCACTTTGTGTTTTAAAAACAGGATAAAATATGACTACCTATCGCTGCACAGTGTTGTTAGGGTTCTATATGGCAAAAGTAAAAGGCTTCACAAAAAGGCTGGCACATACATTGACCAATGAAGCAAAGGTGGCTAGACTTACATGGCTCAAAGTCACACCTGTTTCTGTATTGCTCCTTAATATTTTACTTTATTTTTCCAGCTATGTATTAGTAAGCTCTACTGATTGGATAGTGTAAAACAGTGTGCAGTTCTTTCTTAGGGAAACTTTAATCTCTAATCTACTCTGTCTTGAATTTCTAAGAAGCCTAAAGAGGACACTTTTGTCATTAGATTTAATTTCATTTACTAATCTATTAATGTGGAGCAATGGATGGTTTCACTCTGAAGTTAAGGCAGTGGACACTTTGTGAAATCATCTGAGCCACTTCAAGACAATTAAATGGCATTCAATCATCTGCTAGATTGGTTTTTACAGCTGGGAGACACTAGAAAAAAGTATGCAGATCCTTAAAGTGTGAAATATATCCCTAAGGGACTTAGTAGAAACTATGGAAATTCCACTCCAAAGTTTCTCAAAATGTTGGTTGGGATAAAAAGTACAGACAATAGAAGATGAAAACATAAAAAGCCCCCAAACTATGACTACTCAATTACAACTTTTTGCCTAAAATATTTTAAATATAAAATAATATTAAAGGTCAAAAATAGCACTAAGAGTAGAAAATTACTTTTGTGGCCCTATTCCAGAGAAAATCATTATCAATAAATGATAGGAGACTAATTCTAAATGTTTCAGAAAACCAGGAAAATAATAGATAAAAATATTTAAACATTTTAAATCTTGTAAGGCATAAGACTTAAGAAAAATAGCTTCAAATAACCTCTCAAATTAGTCTGATTTAATCAGGCTAATCAACTTTATGTAGCAATTAATCAATTGCTCCATTATAATTTGAACTGTGCTTAAATATAAAACTGCTCTTTAAAATAAAAAATTGATTAAAATAAAACACACTTTTTAAAGAAACTGAAACCAAGGCAACTTGTAGATGTAAAATACAAGTTTATTATGTGCATTTATATTTATAACTCAGGAAGTCCAAAAGAGACGTAACACCTTAATTACCTTTATTGGAAGAGAAAACATGGCACTAGAAGCAAAGGAGAAGCCAGAGAAAAAGAAACAAGCACCAAGGCCTTCAACACGGAAACATAAAATGAAAGGAACACCTGATGGTTAAGGAAGAAAGTGAAGCTGAAGCTATGAATACAGATTTGTTTCATAATCAAAATTTATGGGTGTTCATTAAATGCGCTGTACAATGCTCGGCTGTCTTGATGGTGAAAGGGACCATCTGTTTATTGTGGCATATTATGTAGTTTCACTTTTTTTAACTACAGCAGCACTGCTGAAGGTTTTTATCATTAACACTTGAAGTAAAGACTTTATTTATTTAAAAAATAAAATTTTCTTTAGAAAATATTCTAAGTTCATATTTTATAACATTTAGGAAAGATGTGCTCCCCACAGAGAATGGATGATCATTACCTTGGTTTCTAGGATCTTAATAAGGTGGTCCAGTCCTTGATTGTCTCTTAGCATGGCCTGGGATTTCTTACCACTTGTAATCACACCCAATGTTTTGAGAGCCAACAGCTGAATAATTGGATATTCCGATTTCAGGAGATCTAATACAAGAGGGATTGCATTTAGTTCTTGAAGTGTAGCTCGACACTGAAAATCCTGCCGTGAAATACAAATGACCATATTAGTAATTTCTAAAGCAAAATACAGCTTTAAGAATAGAGATTCTATTTCTAGCAAAGAACATAAAGTTACAATTTTCACGTCTTTTAATTCAGATCCCCTTCTAAAATAACTCACAAAAATAAGAAAACTTTCAACTGACAAGATCAAAATATTCCTCTTTAACTATGCAGACACTGTCAACAACAGGAAACAAACATGATCTGTGGCTTTTGCAGTATCGTGTTTTTTATGCAGCAAATTCCTTTTACTATGAATATCATTACCGTACAAATCTATGCATAATAAAATTCTTTTCACACTCGGACACGCTGCTTCAAATAGTGCTTGTCACTAAGTCATTTGTGTCATCCTGGAGTGGGGTAGACCCTTAATGGTGTCCTTAGAGGATTGGTGTCCCTAGAAGGGAAATGACAAGGAAGAAATGGAGTGCTACGGTGGTGAGCCCAGGAGAGCCAACCTTAACAGTCATTGCAGAAGCAGGGAAGAGGCGAGGAAATATTCCACCCAGTCTCAGAGTGTGACCCTACTGACACCTTGATTTGGAACTGCTTTCCTCATCACTGTGACTTGCCGTCATTTTAAGCCCATCCAGTTTGTGGCATATACACAATGCAGTGCTACTAACTAGTACTTTGTTATTAGGAACTGTGGAAGTAACACTTGCCATTGCTGCTGCTTGATTAAAAAAATATATAGGGAAATATGGCTAAAAGGACTCTTGAAATTAAAACCTGGGTACTCACAGGAACCTCACAGCCTGCTTGACCAGGTCCAGTCATTGTGACCAGAGAAGCCAGAAGGAGTTGAGCTGCCTTACTCTTAGGAGTGAGGTCCCTAAACGTCAGGTTGCACGGATGTGGTAAGGCTGGGATTCTGATGAGCCCAGGTACGGGTGCATCGTCTACCAACCTGTTCCTCTCCCTCCCTCTTGCTTCTCTCTCTTTCTCTCCCACTCTGTTGATAGCTATTTAAAATAGTGTTTTTAGCTGGTCTAAAGCTTCTCAAACACATGTGGTGATTGTTAAGGAACTTGAACAGGAAAAGAAGCAGAGAAGGCTGTTAAAAGACTCAGGAAACTGATCTGCCGTGGGTGTGAGGGTGTGGGTGTGAGAGTGTGTGGAGGGGACTGGAGGAAGGGGTTCAGAGGACAAGACAGTGGGGGAGGGAAAGGTGGCAGTTTCTTTACACATCAGAGAAAACAGTCCCCATGAGGTAGCATGCTGCTATTGTGAAAAGAAGATACTCAGTATAATCCAGATCACTGGATTTTCACCACAGTTAGTCTAATCCAAAGGGCATAGGTTATACCCAATGTACTGAAACCACCAGGGTCAGATCAAAGAGCCCCTTTCCAGGTTCAACATGAATCTTAGATTTCCATTTTTAGAAGAAGCACATTTTAACTAGCCTAATCCTACCTTAACCTGCATACCATTTTAAAAATAGAAGCACATTTCTAACAAGCTCTTCTTTGGGAGACAACTACTTATAAAATATGAAAACTAAAGTGACAATAAATGTTCATTATTTTTTCTGAGTGATAATTACTAAATGTACTAAGAACTGATGACACAGAACTGGGTGAGCTTTAAAAATCTTTCCTTTCCTAAATAGGAAAATACATTTTATAATAGGATCAAACCAGGGTTTCATGCCAGCTAGGCAAGTGTTCTAACCTCAACATCACAGCAGCTTTTAGAAATTAATTTTACCTGTACCAAGTTGTAAATGCATTCAATAGAATTCTTCTTCACATCAGGATCGGGACTACTCAGTAGTCTGATGAGTGGCTCCAATCCACCATTTTCAAATATTTGCACTTTACCAGTGTACTCTATGGACATGTTTGCTAGGCAAAGAGTAGCAAACTCGTGGATAACTACTTCTTCTGTACATCAGGAAAGAATAAGACAAGCCTGTTAAATGTTTATTGAATCTCTACTTCAAAATATTCTTTAAAAAGCCATAGCTCTGCACATCCTTCTTACTGTTCACCTCTTCAAAAAGTCAAAATTGAGCCTTAGTTCTTGAAATTTTAATGACAACTCACAATTGATACCTCTGAGCTATTTTCAATATGTAATTTAATAAAATGTTAAAAAGAAATCAGTTCTTTTTTTTTTCAGTAGATGTAAGATGCAAAGTTACCTTCTGGGGTGAGCTGGGCTATCACAGAATTCATGACATCTAACTCCCTTAGCAATTTTTTAACATCACCTACAAAGAAAGAGAACATTGTTATTTATTAACAATGATGATGCCAATGTCTGTGGAACAGTTATCCTTTAAGAGGGGGGAACTATCACTATCCAATCTCACAGGCACAGAATTGAATCACCAGATCACACAATAAAGAAGTAGTAGAGCCAGGTTTCCTGCTGAGGTCAGTGTGACCCTGCACGGACTCCAGCCCACACCCTTTTGTCACTGACTATGCTGCCTTCCGAACATTAAACACTATAACTGTAAGAGTACAAAGTGTGACTGGAACATGCATCAGTAAAAGTGAGTTATTGTATCCTTCTCTTGTTTATTATATAATAATAGGTTCTTTTTGTTTGTTTTTTAGAGAAGGTATTTATAAACTTTGATGTTAATAAAACTTGTACAGAATGCAAATAAGAATTATCACAGCCTGTTTCAATGAACACATCTTGATTGCTTCAATTCCATTTAATTATTGCAAATGCCAAGAACACTTAAAGATAAGTATATTGCTGTTCTAAAGTTTACTTTCGTATGATTTATATTAGCCTAATTAAAGGTGGACTGGCATCCCTCCACTTCTTTCCTGCTCTTCTTTATCTTACTTCTGAGAAATAAAGCATCTTTGTTCTTTTAGTTTTGCAATTTCTCTTTTTGATCAGTTACCCGAAAAAAACAAAGTTAGCATCGCCAGAATTTTGGAAAAGTTTGCTTTGCAGCAGCTGAAACACAGACCCTAGATGAATTCTTCCTCATTAATTGCTGGTTACACATGGCTTTTACTGGATCCCTTTTCCAGTGGAATTCAGAGCTACAGCTTTTCTTTAACTTGTCAAAACTTCTTGTTTCTGTTCAAAGTGACTAATAAGTTCAGCAAGATTACAGCCAAATATATACAGACTTGAAATACAAAATAAGTATTGATTTCTAGGAAACACAGTGTTCAGGCATGGAGGATGTCATTTTAGGGTCAACACTCATTTTTTAAAAATGCATTACCTCCATAGATTGAGAAATAGTAGCATTAGAAATTAGTACACAGAACTTCTCAAGGGTTTGGTGAACTGCATAGTGTGCACATTCTAAAAGCAAATAGTGCTTTTCCCTCCTGATCTAGTCTGTATTATTATAAAGATTTTTGCAGAACTATATCAAAGCCTTCTATAATTACATGCTTGAAAAAATATTTCTGGGTTATTAGATTTCCAAGCACATTCCCCATGAGGTGTACGAAATACTTCCATGCACTTCAGAATCTGCTTGGTCTCACACTGAAGTGATATCAAGAAGATTCCTGCTCTGTAAGCTCTGCTGTTTGTCAGGGAGACCGACTCTATTGGAAGAGGCAACAGTGTGGAATAAACCTTGCAGCCACAAGTGACACCACACCTTGGTCTGGCCAAACAAACTAAATCTTTTTTGCCAGAGAATTCTCCATGCCATGAAATTCTCTTCTAGATCTGATTTGCCCCAAAGGCAAGCAACATCCATCAGTAGTACTAGTAGGTCTATCCTTAAAACCATTTCCTCACGGCTCAGTGGATAATTCCAGCTCACTGGCAGCTCTTGTAATCTGGTAACACAGTTAATCAATTTGTTATTCTGTTTTTTTGACACCAGACTTTTCAGAGTCTTTCTGTCTTGAGGTTAAGTCAGCAAAAATAATGGGTAAGTGTCTATTTCCATCACTTTCAACACAGTCTCTGCCCCTTTCTTTTTTAACAGAAAGCACTCTCAGATACAGCAACCGAATGGAAACTCTGACTTGTGCCTGGGCCACATGAAAACATTCTGATTAAACAGGGTGCCACCTATAGTTCTGGGTAGTTTCAGAACTGCCAGCAACTACTTCCTGGCCCACCTGCCTGTCATCTCAAGTTGCGTTCTTATGTGCTTGCTTTGTTTGCACAATACTGACCATATTTATTCACTCAAACTTGTACACCCTTACATCAATGACTTTCTAAAATGGCAATCTCTTTCATTTGCCTTGAGTGAGGTAATATCTGAGCATCCAAGGCCATTTCCACATGGATTCTGATGTACTCTCCCTTAGCTGACTTCATTCAGCGAGTCTTTGGTATGTGGCCTTGTTGAACTAAATACAAACCAGTAGGCAAAAGAAGACAGTAGCTCCATTTTGATAAAAATAAAAGTTTAATAGAGGAATTCAATTTCTGTCTTGACCCCAGGTTGACATATAGACATAGCTCAACCATAAGAAAGAAGGGAAGAAGAGTGTTTGCAATTGCACAAGGGAAAAATGGCTTTCACAGAAACATTTTTAGCCCTTGGCGTCTTATAGGATCATTAGAGTGATCATCTATGAACAGTGGCACCAGTGAAGGCATGAAAATCACATGAAGACACAAATTTCTGAAGGAGCTTGGTTATTTTTAGACTGTCCTTTAGCTGCAGGGGTGCATTTGTTCACATACTTGTCTACAAACATGATTTTACATCTGTGTCAGAGACTAAATGCACAGTTTTTATTCCAAGTTTTCTTGGACGTGTATGAAAAGTGAAGCAATAGCTGTTAATATATTGGCTCTGTTAGGAAAAAAAAGAACTTTACAAGCAGTTAGGGATGCCATGTGCTTTAACTATGTCATCAGACACCTCGAATTGAAAGTAGTCAAGTTAGTTCAAACAATGGTTTAACTTTTTCATCCAATTCATGGAATGGAAAGAATGCTCTGAGAGGCTGATTAGTCATCCCTGAGATCCAAATACTCACTGGAGAAACAAAGGTAGCAGGGTTTCCCCATCCACCAAGCTCTGCATTGCAGACAGAGCCTCCTGACACTGGTCAGCCAAGCAAAGGGTCAGCTTAGAGCAGGCCCCAGAGGTCTCTGAGAGCCTCCTCTCCTCAGCACCAAATGCAACAGTGACTCTGTGTTGATGGGACATTCATAATCCATAGACATTCATAATTCATGCCCCTAGGAATGTCCTTATCCTAGAGTCCCTGCCTTACAGCACAGTCACTGTCAGGGCTGCTGACATTACTGCCTGCCCTGGGTACCCTAACCCCACAGGGTTCTTACAGGAAGTCTCCATAGCGGAGCATGCAAAGTTCCACGTAAAACACCTCTTCCCCTTCTCCACTCATCACTGTCTCTGAAGACACTAATGCCACCATCCCTGTTGGTCATCATGGAATCAAAAAAGACCCACAGTCATCACATAGCACTCAGAAAAAAATGGAGGATATGGGGAAGAGGAAGACTGAGACTATGGTATGCAAGGAAAGCATGATTTTAGCCACAGACCCTGACAGAGACACGCGTTTATTACTAACAGCCTGTTTCATGGTACGATTCTATCTCCATTCAGAGTATCATTTAAACTTTTTGTAAGTTACAAGGCTGTTATCAACAGACTCAAAACACCCCTTATAACATAGAGAAATGACTTACACATGGAAAACATATCCTGTTCATAAAAAATATCTACTTTTTTGCATATTTTTGGCAAAACTGATAGTCTAACGGACATAATAGCATATTTTAACATATACTATTATACAACCTATCACATACATTTATGAAAATATTCCAAGCAAGTAATAGACCTGATTTAAGAGTAAATATACACATATAAATTTATTTTTGTGAAGTCTGCAGTTTCAAAAATAATAGTTTAAGAAAATTTTACTCTGGGCATCATTTGTAGCGAAATATGTATGAAGGACAATTTACACATACATGAGCAGGAAAATTTATATTATACTGTCAAGAAAAATATTTTGATTTTAAGAAATGGTGATTTCTGTCCTGAGTTTTAAGACTGGAACATACTACCTTACCAACTTTGAGAGGGGGATTTTTGTGTGTACATATCTGTACTTATTTTTATACTTTAAAATATCCCAGATACATTCCTGCATTCTGGGAGCTTAAGGCAAGACCATAAGTTCCAGCCCAACTCTGGCAATTTAGAAACTAGGAAGACTGACACAAAATAAAAAACTGAAAAAAAAGGCTGAGAGGACAGCTCAGTGTGAAGGCATGGGGTTTAGTCCCCAGGTCCATAAAAAAATCCCCTAAAATAAGACATAGTGCATTTGCTGCATTGTCCTGATTTAATTTTTATTTTGTCAGCATTAAAGTCAGTTTTAATAAATTAAAATAAATTCCTTACTGTTGAAAGAAAAGACAATGTATTTACTTTTAAAAAGTTGATACTTACTATTAGAAGTTAGGATTCCAAATATCATAATGGCATTTCTTTTTACAATTTTATCTTCATGGGTGAGCAGTTTGGTTAAGGGTTCCACAGCTCCAAGTTCAAGGAGGGTTGCTTTATTTTCTTCACCTGACATCAAAGGTGAGATAAGATCACACATGGATGTCACTAGTCACATAAACACTCTTCCTTGTCATTCTAATTTATTATTTGCCACCTGCCTTTCCAATTTCTCTTTGCTTCCTCTCCTATTTCTCTCTGTCTTATTAACCTTTTCTTCTCTGAAGGGAGGAGAAAAAAATACCTGATGCCCACAACTTAAAGAAGTTTATTTTGGCTCAGAGTTACAGTCTCTGGTTAGGCAGCTTCAGTGCTGAAGCTATGGATTAATTCACTGAGAAATGTAACACCTCCATGATCCAATCACCTCCCAAAAGCCCATCTCTGAGCACGTACACCTTTTGGTAACACTTATGATCTAAGCCATAACATTCTGCCCTCCATTCCCAAAAGTGTCACGTCCTTCTCTTTATATAAACACATTTAGTCCATCTCTAAGAGTCACCAAGGTTTTAACAGTTCTAGCATTGCTGAAAAGTTAAGTTCAAAGCCTCCTCTGAGATTCAAGGCAAATTCTTAGCTGAGAGCCCCTGTAAGAATCAAAAAGAGAGACTTCCAGGAGAACATGGTGGACAGATAGCAGCAGCTACTGAGGCTCTCTGAAAGACCCAGCTTAGAATCCAGGAATGGTGCGGAGTGAGAAATCCTAAGCAAGAGGAGATATGCCCTGCTGACCCAAGAATGAACTGGGCTGAGAGAAACCAACTGGGAATGCAATCCTGGTGCTATAACAGGAACAGATAAAGCCTCAGCGTGGAAGCTGGAGCCCACGCCATTGGAAGCCGAGATTTGGGTTTCCTGCCACCACGGCTGCGTCTGAATCGGCTCGGCAGGGAGAGAGACGCACGAAAGCTCTGAGAACGGGAATCAGTGAACGGAGTTGAGAGCGGGTGGGTGGGGAGCCATGCATCAACCTGCAGTGAGTGAGGGAAACTGGGACTCTTCCACGATCTAGGAGGCTCCAACAGAGGATATTCTGGGACCAGGCAGACTAGCCGGAACAGGGCACTGCAGTGACTTCAGTCACATATCCCCCTCTCAAGTGGGATTGGTGAGCAGTGCCTAGCTTACGTGACACTGCTGGCTGAGACTCAGTAGGCTTGCACAACCCAGCTCCCAGCGCCTAGAGGTGACCTGGAGAGGCGGGCCCCGCATAGGCTGCCCAGTGCATAACTCCCTGGTGCACTGCGGTGGGCAGGAAATCCTAGCCAGCGCAATTCAATCAGACTGTGGCTAAAAGCGAAGGAAGCTAGGCCTCCTATATACACTTGCATGTATAAAGAACAAAGAATATGGGAAGAGGGAGCAACAAGAAAGGGTCCTTGGCCCCCAATCCTGAGAAAAAGGCAATATCAGACACAGCACCAATAGACATAAAGCGCTCTCTCCAGAGCCTCATAGACGAATTCAGGAATGAAGTTATTAATGACCTGAAGCTAGACATAAGCAGAATAGTTAGAGAAAGTCTAAGCACCACCCAAGAAAAAACAGATGGTGGAATGGAAGAACAAAAAAAAAGGGCAGAATTGTTTGATGGAGAAAATAGAGAAAACATAGAATACGTGAATCAGGTCCAAAGAGATTACCAGGAAACTAAAAACTCTATTGAAAGCTGGCATAACAGCTTGAAAGAAACTAAGGATAGATTATCAGAACTAGAGGACAGATTCGTAAGGTGGGAGCATGAAATGAAAAACTTCTTAAAAATAACAAGAAAACAAACAGCAATAATACAAAGACTAGAAGATGATAAGAGGATCTATAACTTAAGAATTAAGAACATAAAAGAAGAGGTAGGGACACAAACAAATGAACTACAAAAGCTACTCGCAGAAATAATCCAGGAGAATTTCCATAATTTAGCAAAAGGTAAAGATACTCAGATGTATGAAGCATTCAGGACCCCAGCCACCTACAACCCAAACAGAGCTACACCCAGGCATATAATAATCAAAATTCCAGAAATCCAATATAAGAACAGAATATTAAAAGCCATCAGAGACAAGAAACAGATCACTTAAAAGGGAACACCCATCAGAATTACAGCAGACTTCTCGGCACAAACCATCAAATCACGAAGAGCGTGGGGGGAAATAATTCAAGCTTTGAAAGATAATAACCTCCAGCCAAGATTGAGATATCCTGCACAACTATCCCTGGAAATTGATGGAAAAACAAGGTGCTTCCAGGATAAAGAGGAACTAGGGGAATTTGCAACCACCAATTCAACTCTACAGAGAATACTGCAGAATATTCTAAAAATGAAAAATATGAAGATTCCAGAAACAGTGGCAGAGAGGCCACTAATGAATGGAGCAGAAAGCAAAATAAAGAAGACAAATGACAACTAATGACAGAAAAAGAGCTCAACAGAAATGAGGCAGAGAAGGTTGGATGGTAGGAACAGCCATTTTGGAGAAAACAAGACATCGTAATAGGTAGTGCTGATTTAATATCATCTTGTTTTGAAGTCTCATCAAGCTTTTGTTCTTCTGTCTCCATTGGTCTTAACATGTTGTATCTTATTGGATTTTATTATATGCGATAGTATAAACAAAAACTTTTATAGACAAGGAGATTATACAGAAACCATTGCTCATTTTCTCTTAGGTGATTCTAAATACCTTGTAATACTGTCATTCTCTTGAATGGTTTTACATTGTTTTGATATATTTGATGCTACAGTATACGAAGTTATACTCAAAGATTTCAAGGAAAGAGACAGTATGGTAACTACTTTTATGTTGGGATTATCTTGTGGTGAAACACTATTTTGTTTAAATGGTTATGTTTTGATCTGTGCTGTTTTGTTGTTATGCCCTCTTTTATCTCAATCTCCATTTTATTATTTACTTTTTTATTTTTATCCTTTTAATTAAGGGAAAAATAAATAAAAAATAGTAGGATATATTATAATAACCCACTTTGATTTAATATTAACTTGATTTGAAACCCTGTATTGCTCTCACCATCTTGTTTTGACTGATGTTCCTCTATTCTGTTTTGCTTGATAGTACCAAAAGGTCGAAAGTTTAGGCAACAGCTGTGAAGATAGTGGGATTCATTATGATGCCCATTCTGGTTGACTATTATCTACTTTTGAAGACCTGTAATGTCTCCAATGTTTTGGTATTGTTGGTTTCATTCTTTACTGTTTTGTTCAATTTTATTATAACTGATGATACAGGCAACTCTATTAGAGATAGCGGGAGGCATTATGTTAACCATTGTTGATCACCTTGTATTATATTTTTACATTATCTATTATGTCCACCCTTTTGATTTGACTGACTCTGTTCTGTTATGTCACATTTGGTTTTACTCTCTCCCAAAAGAAGTAATAAGAAGTGTGGGAGCAACAAAACCCAAAATGTGTAATAGTCATTGTACAAAAGAGAGGAAAAGAAAGTGCTCTAAAGGATATAACTGCATGGATATTTAAGTGCATAAGATAGACAATGATATTATGGAGTTTTGTTGGATCATTGGACAGAATTGTTTGGTCTCACTGTTTGAATGTCCACTATATAAGCTTTAATTTTGTAACTTGAACAAACATTTCTAAGATGACAATATGTAATCCATTAACTAGTGATTTCCTACTGTTTATTTTTTTTTTCTGAAATTCTGTATAACTTGTACCCTTTTTCTGCTTTTTTTTTCTTTTTCTCCTTAAACAAAATTAAAAAAAAAAGAATCAAAAAGAAAGTTAAACCTGCCAAGGCACAGGGTAAACATTTCTATTCTGAAAGGGAGGAGAAGGGGGATAGCAAAGAATGGAACCAAAGCAAAATCAAAACCCAGAAGGGCAAACATTAAATCCTGTACTCTGCGCCCAGCTCCTGGGACAAGTTTGGGCAAGATGGGAACTTCAAAGGGCTTAGGTGGTTTTGCCTCTATGGCAGTGCCAGTTTCCCCTTCATGGCCTCTCTCCTGGGCTGGCTTCACTCATTCCCTATGACTGTCCTCAACACCTTTTCCATGGTCCAGGAGTGTCTCGTGTTCCATGTTTCATTCCATGTTCCGTGTTTCTCTAACTTCCGTTATTTTCAGCCCTCTCAGCACACTGCCTGGCCACTCAGGCCTTCTTCTGAAATCTAGATGTAAGTCTACCTGACCAAACAACTCATGAACTCTGCACACCTATAAAATTTGCACAACATGAGTGATGCCAACGTCTGCCACCAGCTCAGACATTAATGGTCCCCTTGCATAATGGCTGCAGAAGCCTTTGAATGCCTGAATGGTTGAGTGCTATAAACCAAATCACAGGAAACCAATCGCTTGGGCAGCTTCCAGAGCAGGGTACCCTGAGGATGTCTTCTCAGTGAAATCTTTCACTTTTATATTTTACATTTCAAAATATAGGGTCTTGCTGATTCTTGAGGTCTCTTAAGCCATCTTTTGTATTGTCCTCATGCAAAGTATTTGGTTCCTTTTTAATACTGGCCTTTTTCAGCAGGTATTTCCTTTCTGGCCAGACTCAAAACTTTTTAAATTTGCTCCTTCTTTCTGGTCTAATCCTGGCTAAAAGCCTCTCACAATAGTCATGAAATTTCCTCTGCTAGGTTAAATAGACCATTGCCCTCAATATCAGTCCCATGAAGTGTCTTAGGACGTGAGCAAGATGTAGACACATTTTCTGCCAAAGCATAAACACTCATAGTCTGTGGTTCAATTTCCAATGTTTCCAACTCAGCATTCTGGTCATCTGAACTGTGATCATCAACCCTGGCTTACAGCATTCTAGGGCTTCCATGGCTGGCATCTTGAAACCATTCCAAACTCTCCCATGAACCTCTTCCAAAGGCTTCTAAATCCCACACTCAGGTATATTCCCAGCAATGATTCCATTAATCTGGTACCAAAATCTGTCTTAATCACTTACTCATCATTGAGATGCAATACATGACACCTACAACTTAAAGGAGAAGAAGTTTGCTTTGGCTCACAATTACAGTAGTTATGTGACACTATGCTTAGCAACCTTGCTCATTTTTAATTCTACC